ATGTTGGATACTTGTGTTTCCAGAAGACGCTTACACATACATTTTCATTATATGGATCCTGAGCAGAATTAAATACACAATATAACCTTTTCTTATATTTATTTAGATAATTTAAATAATTTTCTTATATCACTTACCCGAATGATGTAATCTTTACCGGTAAGATTGAAGGCCTTGCCACCCAAATTAAACTTGATTGTAGGCAATGAGAATTCTATTGCAGTCCACCTTTAAATAAAATATCATTTAATAATTAATCATATTTAATGAATATATTAAGTATTTCGGAAACAAGGACTAATGTCATTGTTCCACAAAGTTTATGTTTTACTGAAACGTACCTAATATTTATTTTTGTATTGTTATTATCAACTTTTTATTATTTTTGTTATCGAAGGCTACGTGCTTGAAAGATATGACTACTTGAAAGATATTACTTACTCTTCCCCGTGGATTAATTTTAATAAATTGATTTATAAGTGAAATATCCTTTTCTGGTCCAATTATTCTCCAAATACTTGTATCAATGGTAGCTAGGCAGATCTCTCGCACCAAGTAATCTCATTTATTTCGATACTACAAAGCGTAACGTAAACAATTTGTTGAAATATGATTAATATAATTTAAATATAACGTACCTATCTATAGTAATATCCCACATTCTTTAACACTAACAGGAACATATGTAAAATTCCCTTCGTAATAAGCAGGATCGGAATCACCGAATGTCAATTTACCACCTAAATTAGCTGAGTTAGTTTTTCTGCAAATTGTATTTTTTATACCGCAACATGTATGTGTGTGATTATTAAGATAAATTATAAATTATATTTAATGTGTAAATATAAATATTACTTTAATATAAAAAAATACTTAATATAAAAATATACTATAGAAATTATGATACTATGTATAAATAATAAATTTAATTTATATTAATATTAAAATAAGTATATAATAAGTATAAAATATATACATATAGATTGCACACATGTTAATTAAATACTCTTTTCTATAGATATATGTTTTCATAATAGAGAAGATATGTACCTATTTAAATAAAAACTAAAAATGCGTGATGACACTAGACCTTGTTGAATCATGTTGCCAAAATAGGCGTCATCGATGCTGCATCACCATATAAATTGGATGTATCAGGCCTACCATACCATCAAATCTGTGTGTATCAAGTATAGTTACATATGAATTAAATATTATATTTATGTTTGATGCGTTTATCACTTCTACAAATGTTTGATTCGCCACACTGAGTTTGGCAACCTACGATAAAATCGGTATAGAAATAATACATACATCGTCGTTGCCGCGCAAGAAAAAAAAAACATGATTGCTTAAGAAATGTTTAAACTACTCGTATGATTTTATTTCTAACTAAATGGATTGATTGCTTAATAATGACTTACATTCACTGTATCAGTAGATAGAAAACCATGTACTTTGTAATCCAAGTATTTTAAATTAATGTTAGTTTTACGTGATATATATGTGTAGGAATTGTTACTATTATATCTATAAGGTCGTACTGAAACATATTCAGTAATATCGAAAATTAGCAATATTAGAAAGATATTAAAAATATATATTTTGAGATATTGTCTTATTAATCTATATCACTTATGCAATATTCTTTTACAAATAATGCCATATTTTATACATGTAAATGTATTTCTCGCATTAATTCATAAATTATTTTTGTTTATTAATTCTTGTATCTTTGGAGAATAAAGCTGATAAATTATTTAAATAATTAATACATTTTATTAAAAATTACTATAAAAATTAAGTAAATATATATCTATATTATGTATTCAACTTTTGACAATATCCGAAGATTATATTTGAGAAATATAATTGTTGATGGAAATAAGTATATATATATATATATATATATATATATATAATATACATACAAACAAATTACTTACAACAAAAAGAGAGTGTACAATTTTTGGAAAATATCCAAGAATATGCGGAATCAGTACTAAATGCAACTCTAAATTCTTGAGCTGGTTTCCCAATTTCAATGTTGCCATAGTAATGTATGTTTCCGAAATTTTTCAAATGTACTGAAGGAAGATTACTATCTAACAAAGGAACTTTTTGCAAGATGGTGCCAACTTTTTTCGAAGATTCTCCATCCATCTCGTGCAAGGAAGTCCTTGAAATAACATAAACAACATTCTATGATATATGTATGTATTGTAAATATATATGTAAAATGAATATTTACGTTTAATATGACTAATAGATATTTTCAGACCAAATGTAGTAATGAAAGTCTACACATTCTCAGAAATTAAATGTATAACTTATATACTTGCAATACAAATACATTAGGCATTTAAATATAAATATTTCAGAAATGTTTATTACTCGATGATCTTTCTAAATTGTATGAACTCATATATATATATATATATATATATATTATATATATAAATATATCAAAAGAAATTATTAATTTGTACAACCCAGTTTTAAATAAAATCATTTTAATAGACATTGAATTTTAATTAATTTTGCATGTGATTTTACATACAGAAGTAATTTAGAAACAAGTAATCAAAAAAAGGGTATTAAAAATAGGAAACTGAAAATATAAGTTAAACAAATAATATAAAGCAACTCATTATACCTACAGTTAACGCGTAAAAAAATAGTTTACAATTACATGTTTTGATGACCTCCAAGCACGATATTTATGTTAACGGTCGTTGTTTAAATAGGGATAAATAGGGAGAAAGATGGACAAAAGCGAACGTTACGAAAGAACAACGAGTCACTTTTTCAAAACTATTCTTATTTTATTTACTCTTTAATTAATAAATCAAAATATACGTTTTGCTCAAAGAAATCATTTCATCCAATTTGTATTGAAGCATTATTTGCATTTGTACAAGCCACGCATTTAATCCAAGAAGTCGGAAACGAGAAAAAATCTTTCTAAGTTCGATATTTATGCCAATATGCAATATAATATAATATGTACTGACCTGTTTAATCGCGCGTCAATCGTCATAAAGAGCATCGTCATTATCACAAAAAGGCGAAACATATTTCAGAATTTATTTATTGGTGATGTCTCGATTTGTGAAAATTTCAATGACAACTTTCTTTCGACACTTTATGACCTGACACGCAGAAAAATAAAGTGTTGTCGTTTACTAACTCTTCCTTAGCACTGTACTGGTATTCGATAGCGTTATGTATACATATATGATCACGCGTGTCCCTCTGTTGAATGCTTGAACAGGTAGAGAAAGCGCGAAACATTCGAAAAATCCTGATAAATTTCCATTTCGATCAATTTAATTTAAATATACTATATTTTGCATGAACGTGTATTTTTAATGAAAAACATTTATTTACATAAATTCATGTTTGATAATAAAATAATTATTTCTAAAGAATATATTGTTAATATCAAACAGACAATTATGCAACATTAACTTTACAATAAATAATTTGTAAAATTTATCAACATTTTTTTATGTAATTTTGTGTAAAATTATATTTATACAATTATACACCACACTTTATTTGATGAATACTTAAGATTTCTAAAGAGACATGAAAATATACATAATCTTGAAATATATATTTGAATAATCATTAATTTCAGAAATTTTGCTGTGAACAGTTTGTTATGTTAAATTTCGGATAATGTTAATATGAATATTTTAATTCAAGATAATATACAAAACTAAAAATCTATACTATATATACATTTCTTTTCTATATTATGCAAATTTTAGGAAAATGCAATCAAATTTTGTGAAGGAAATAATACATCTCCAATAAGGAAACGTGTTCTTTTATTAAAAATTTTATTAAAAGTAAGTGATTAATAAATCGAAATAATATTGCAATAATGAGAAACGTCATTATAATCATAATTTCAATTACATTATAAAAATAAACTTATAATAAAATAAACATGTTATAAGATAAAAAAATTTTAATACGTTTTCATTATTTCTCTTTATCAAGTTCATCCTGATTTAAAAAAGTTGATAGTGACCGAATATTGGTATTATTCAAACATTTAGTATGTATACATAAATATATATTACATATATTACGATTAAAATTCATGAATAATAATAGCCTAATAGTGCAATATTTATATTCAATTTATAATCAAATTATTTCAGACAAATATAGAAAATAATAATCGGTCGATAATAATTAATTTTTCACGCTATTAATATTCAACCATAGTATGAAAAGTCATGATATCCGAATATGAAATCAGTTCTTAGGAACTCTTTAACAAAGCTTATTTTATTCAAAAAAATCGAAAGGCGCTACTGAATCGCGTGCTAATTGCATTAATTGCGAAATTTTCGTGGCATTTATTAACCAAGAACAAAGAAAATGTCAGATTTTTCTCTAAACTTTTCACGCAATCGATTTATGCAAGAATTTGAATTAAAAGAAGACACCGAGATATTATTTTTAATTATGACAGCGAAACATATTATCGCACTTTTATCTCCGCAATATCTAGGGATTAATAGGATATAGTAAATTGTAATCAGGAAAACGCACTTGCCGTGTAAACAACATCGTTAAGGTGCAATTTCATTGACGCTAAAAAGTAGCATCAATGAAAAGGCCGCTTTATGCATTTAAGGTCACATGACGGAATGCATAATACAGATAAAATCAAGTCGATAAGTCGATGATTTGATGCGGATCGGAAATATTTTAAATCGCAGCGAGATTATCTTAAAGCGGTGACGACAAGTTGTTCTCTTACTGAATGGAAGCATATTAATTCTTGTTCACGTACGAAGATGTAAGGAGTGAAATGGGAAAACTTTTGCAATTCTGGGTCCATAAAAATACTTTATTTACGGGAGAGCTTCAAGATTAATTTTATTAGATTCAATGATAACCTTTCATTTTTAATTCTTATTAAATCGAGCAAGGAGAAAATGATTTTTATAACATTGTCATAAAATTAAAAACTTTTATTGCTCATCGCATTGAATAACCTTTTATTTAGGATTTATCAACGTTTTATGAATGTAATCACATTTACATAGGTTTTGGATTTCAGAAAATCGAATGTGATCACGACAAGATAGATTGATTTTAGAAAAATCAACATTTATTATACCGATACGTAATGTAAACACACGATACAATGCATTAACTTGACTTTGGATTTCCGCGTGAATCAGCACCACTGCTACGAAAAAACGAATCATATTTTTGAAATTTCTGGTAAATTTCTTTCTGTACGTTGCAACATAAAAAGAAGAAATTGTACTCGGCTACTAGAGCCATTTATCGACATTTGGTGACTATTATATATACAATCGCGCGCATTCGAAACATATCCATGTTATCGATCCATCCTATCGATCAATCAAACTTAAAAATATATTATTTAAATATTTTTTTTCATAATTAAACCAAATTGTATTAAAATAAATTATTAAACGTGCGCGTGATTAAGAATAATAATGGAAAAAAAATAATCATTTCGAAAAAGTAAATTGATTATATCGACTAGACGGCCATGCAACAATGGACTTAGCAGATGACACTGTTCCCAAAAATTCGCACATTCTAATTAGCAATAAGCTCATGTCAGCCACTTTCAAGATAAAGTATTGCTGTTAAAAATTAGGACACAATTATGCACGTATTACGCAAAAATTTACATTGATAATATTTAAACTTTGTCAGTTGGCGATTAAAAATGATTAAATTTTTTTTTGCTATTGAAAACTAAGCAAATTATTTAAAAATTGATGATAAAGTATACAATAAAAGGTAATGAAAATGGCAATGAAAAATTTTCTATACATTTTGATGAATTCTATACGTTTTTCGACAAAGCAAATCCCACTCGGTCTCTCTCCATATCAAACTCGGTGTAGTAGCGCCCCATAAATGGCATGCCCAGAATCCATTTTTCTTTGCTGTCATATGTTGGGTCGTGTTTCCAGAAGACGGTTAAACATTTACTTTCATTATCTGGATCCTGAGCAAAATTAAATACACAATATAAACTTCTCTTATACTTATTTAAATAATTTAAATAATTTTCTTATAACACTCACCCGAATGGTGTAATCTTTACCGGTAAGATTGAAGGCCTCACCACCCAAATTAAACTTGATTGTAGGCAATTTGGAAATTCTATTGCAATTCACCTTTGAATGAAACATAATATCAAGTTAATAATTAATCATATATAATGAATATATTAAGTATTTCGGAAACAAGGACTAATGTCAGTGTTCCATAGAAGTTTATATTTTACTGGAACGTACCTAATATTTATTTTTGTATCGTTATTATCAACTTTTAATTATTTTTGTTATCGAAGGCTACGTGCTTGAAAGATATGACTACTTGAAAGATATTACTTACTCTTCCCCGTTTACTAGTTCTAATAAATCGATTAATAAATGAAATATCCTTTTCTGGTCCAATTATTCTCCAAATACTTGTATCAATGATAGCTTGGCAGTATCTCTTGCACCAAGTAACCATATTTATTTCGATACTACAAAGCGTAACGTAAACAATTTGTTGAAACATGATTAATATAATTTAAAGTATAACGTACCTATCTATGGTAATTTCCCACACTCCTTTGATACTAACAGGAACATATGTAAAATTCCCTTCGTAATAAGCAGGATCGGAACCACCGAATGTCAATTTACCACCTAAATTTGCTGAGTTAGGGTCTCTGCAAATTGTATTTTTTATATCGCAATATGTATGTATGTGATAATTAAGATAAATTATAAATTATATTTAATGTGTAAATATAAATATTACTTTAATATAAAAAATAATACTATATAGAAATTATGATACTATGTATAAATAATAAATTTAATTTATATTAATTTTAAAATAAGTATAAAATAAATATAAATATACATACAAATAGGGGAGCCTGTGTGATCCTGCACGCTGCGTCACTGAAACTCGCCGAAGTGAAGATTAAGCGTGGCGCGGATTCGGGTCCACACAGGTCCCAGTGAGAAAGTAAGGATAGTAGAAGTGGATGGAGGCGATAGACGGTATAAAGGAGGACCAGCCGGAGAAAAGAGGGAAGAGAGAATAGAGGAGACGGGAACGTGGAAGAAAGGGAAAGAAGAAGTGAAAGAAGAAAGGAGGAGGGGGAAGGCGGGGGAGAGAAGAAAGAGAGGAGAAGGAAAAAGAAGTTTTTAAGAAAAGAGATCGAGAGAACGATGGAGAGGACATATGGAGGAAATTTGAAGAGAGGAAGAAGAAAGTGAGAAGGAAAAAAGAGAAAGGGAGATAGAGCGAGAAGGGAAGGAGAGAGGAGGAAGGAGATGGAGAAGAGGAGAAAAAGAAAGAAGAATGTAGTGTGGAAAAAGGAGTAGGAAAAAACGGCGATGCGTTAGTAGATATGGGTGTTAGTTGTGATATGTTAAAGGCGGCGGCAATTGCGTGAGAGATATGGTTATGTTAGGTAGAGTTATGTAATTGTATGTTGAAGATTGTAATCCCAAGGGGAACAATAAAGTTTACCATTTACATACAAATAGAACTCCATGTTTATTAAATATTCTTTTCTATAGATATAAGTTGTTCATAAGTAAAGAAGATATTTACCTGTTTAGATAAAAACTGAAAATGCGTGATGATAGTCCTTGTTGAATCATGTTACCAAAGACAGGCGTTACTGCATCATCATATAAATTGGAAGGTATTAGGCCTAAGATACCATCAAATCTTCGGTTATCAAATATATTTATATGCGAAGTAAAATTATTTACGTTTGATACGTCTACCACTTCTGCAAATGTTTGATTCTCGATATGGAAGTTGGCAACCTATGATAAAGTTGGTAATGATATAATACTACATCGTCATTGCCTCGCAAACAAGAGAACATAATTACTTAAAAAATGTTTAATCTACTCTTATGATTTTATTTCTAACTAAATTGGATTGATTGTTTAATATTGACTTACATTCACTGTATCAGTAGATAGGAATCCATGTACCGTGTAATCGAAGTATTCTATATCAATCTGAGTATTATTTGGTATATATGTGTAGGAATACATACCATTATATTTAAAACGTCCTACTGTGAAGCATATTTAATCTTAATAATCTTAATTTAATATCGAAAATTAACAATATTAAAGAGAGATTAAAAATATATATAGAGATATTGTCTTCTTAATCTATATCAAATATGCAATATTTATTTACAAATAACGCTATATTTTGTACATGTGAATGTATTTGCCGAATTAATTTATAAATTATTTTTGTTTATCATTGCTTGCATCTTTAGAAAGTAAAACTGATAAATTATTTAATAATTTATACATTTCCAAATTCCAAAGTTTGCCATTGTAATATTTTACATTATAATATTAAAAATTACTATAAAATTAAGTAAATGTACGAGGGTAGTTCGAAAAGTTCTCGGCCTGGCAAAGAAAACACATGATTTCCAGCAAAAATCTTTTTTATTTTTCAACATAGTCCCCTTTCAACTCAATACATTTAGACAACGATGTTCTAATTTTTTTATACCTCAGTATAATACGATTTGCTTAAGCCTCCAAAATAAGCATCCGTCTCAGCGATGACCTCCGCATTTGACGTGAATTTTTTTCCAGCAAGCCATTTTTTCATATTCGGAAACAAAAAGAAGTCACTGGGAGCTAAATCTGGCGAGTACGGTGCGTGTGGTAACAATTCGAAACGCAATTCATGGAGCTTTGCAACTGCAATTGAAGACGTGTGAGCGGGTGCATTGTCGTGATGGAAAAGCACTTTTTTCTTTGCCAAATGAGGACGTTTGGTTTTAATAGCATCGTTCAATTGCTCCAGCAATGCTGCATAATATTCCCCATTGATGGTTTTGCCTTTTTCTAGATAATCTATGAACACCACACCTTGCGAATCCCAAAAAACAGTCGCCATGACTTTTCCGGCTGATGGAACTGTTTTTGCCTTCTTTGGAGCACTTCCACCCGCTTCCACCCATTGTTTTGATTGTTGTTTCGTCTCTGGCGTGTAATGGTGAATCCATGTTTCATCGACAGTGATAAATCGTCGCAGAAATTCGGTTGAATTGCGTTTAAACAAGTCCAAGCACTCTTGAGAAATGTTCGTTCGAATGCGTTTCTGATCGACCGTTAACAAACGCGGCACCCATCGCGCTGAGAGCTTTCTCATATGCAAATGTTCATGTAAGATATTGTGAACACGATCTATTGAGATGTTTGCAATGTTAGAAAGCTCACGCACTTTTACTCGTCGATCATTTAACACGCTATCGTGGATTTTTTGAATGATTTCCTCATTCGTGGCGGTTTTCGGGCGACCCGAACGTTCATCGTCAAAGATGGATGAACGGCCACGTTTAAATTCAGCAGCCCATTTCTTCACTGTTGAAAATGATGGAGAAGAGTCTCCCAAAGTGGAATCCAGCTCGTTTTTTATTTCTGTTGCCGTTAATCCTTTTAAAACAAAATATTTTATGACTGCGCGATATTCAATTTTATCCATTTTTGGAGAAGTATCAAATCTTGTCTGTTTTACTCGAGCACAGTAAACAAACTAGCGAACGAATCTGTCTGAAACTGTGCGGTACCCTCTGAGGATTAAACTTGAGAAAATCATAGCCATTTGATATTCTTAGCGACATTTCTATATTAGGCCGAGAACTTTTCGAACTACCCTCGTATATGTATCTGTATTATATATTCAACTTTTTAAAATATCCCAAGATTATACTTGAAAAATATAATTGTTGATAGAATATATATATATATATATATATATATATATATGTATATATATGTTAAACGTTTACAACGGGGACATAATTTCAGGCGAATGAATGTTTTGGGGACTTTTGTATACTTTAGGGTCAAGACTCAAAGTATCCATATATCAAATGTATGATTTGGGAACATTATGTGTATATATTAAATGCATAATTTGAGCCCTATATAATTCACCGATAGATGGCACTATTAGTACTATAATGATACACGGAGAGAGACCTCAAATTATACTTTATATATGTAAAATAAAATTTTCATTTATATTTAGAGGATATCGATTTAAACAATTTAAATTTCTTAAACTTTTTGATAAACAAATTTTGAAACATTAATTTATGGCTTCAAACTATGCATTTTATATATATTACGACCTTAAAGTACGCAACTTGCATACTTTAAGATCGTAATATGTATAAAATGCATAGTTTGAAGCCATAAATTATATAGTTTGAAGAATGCATAAATTGTATCATTAAATTTTAAACAAGAGTGTTTTGTGCAAGAAATTTTAAAAGAAATCATTAAATCGATTATTATTTATTTTGTAGGCAATATATAACACATACACTTGAGAGATAATGAATTTTGTATATTTTATATTTTATTTGGGCAATGTATAATATATTAATTGAAATCACAGTCTCGTTTACTTTTGAAACATTCTAGTATATTCTCTCACTATCAGTGAGATACATAACAATATAGTTTTATTAAAAACTGAAAATAATGTCATATTCATAATATTACTTTAATCGTAAAAGTTTTATTAATTTATTAAGATTATTTTCAAAAGAAAATGAAAAATATTAAAATTTTTATTTTTATTATAAGATATCACGTGTATGTGTATTACTTCTTACGATATTCGGCCTTTAGCACGCACCTGGAGTGAGAAAAACGCATCAACATATAAATGTGGACGGAACATTGTATTAAACAAATACGCACTCGCTGCAGAGAGAGAGAGAGAGAGGGGCCTATATTGTCCCTTTTACTAACATCTTCTTGATAACTTTTTTTTATATCGATGAAAATTACCAATGAGATGTTACATGTGCCTTCTATGTATCATATATCTCTCTCTCTACAGCTGGCGCGTGTTTGCCTATCGCGATGTTCAGTCTATTTTATATGTGATGCGTTTTTCTCACTCCAAGTGCGTGCTAGAGGCCGAATATTGTAAGAAGCAGTCGTCTAGCGTTCGCTTTATTCAGTTAGGACGAAAAGAATAAGTTTCATTATTTTGATTACGCAATGCTTCGAAGCATCTCTAGCGTTTCCCAGATCGCAGTCAATAATGTCAGATTCTAGTCGCTGATATAATAGCATTCGGTATCATGACGCACACAAGCACGTACGTGTGCGCTCGAGACTTTGGGCAACATCGGCCAGTAAAAGGTTGTCTCCCCTTCTCGAGTTGTACGTAGCTATGCAAATCCCGAAATCTCGAACAGATGAATTGGCGATGAGACGTGCAATGTTTACTATAAATCTTTATCTTATAAACTACTATACAGCGTGTCCCAAAAGTATGGACACACCTGATTTTCTTGGAAAATAAGCGTGCTAGAAAAAAACGTCAATAACAAAAGTTTCGGGAAATCAAACGGTGCATCTAAGAGTGACCTTGAGTTTGACCTTGAGCTTGACCTTCAAGGTTATTTGAAGGTCAAAGTGTTTTTTTTTTAATGGGAACCTCTATTTTTGATTGTATATTCTTATAGCTGACCTCGAGAGCTTTCCAAAATACTATAATATAATATTTTTCCCTCAAGCATTTATCGAGTTATGAGGCTTCAAATCATTTCTTAATTTTACATAAACCGTAAAATATCTTGTAAAATATTCACTTTTCGATTATTTTACCTTAATACTTTTATGTACAAAATAATGAGAGGAATCAATTGGTGTAAAGAAAACATACAGTTGTTTTTAAGAAAAAATATGGAATTGTTAATTGCAAATTACATATTTTTTCTTAAAAACAACTATATGTTTTCTTTACATCAATTGATTCCTCTCATTATTTTACACAAGATATTTTACGGTTTATGTAAAATTAAGAAATGATTTGAAGCCTCATAACTCGATAAATGCTTGAGGGAAAAATATTATATTATAGTGTTTTGGAAAGCTCTCGAGGTCAGCTATAAGAATATACAATCAAAAATAGGGGTTCCCATTAAAAAAAAACACTTTGACCTTCAAATAACCTTGAAGGTCAAGCTCAAGGTCAAACTCAAGGTCACTCTTAGATGCACCGTTTGATTTCCCGAAACTTTTGTTATTGACGTTTTTTTCTAGCACGCTTATTTTCCAAGAAAATCAGGTGTGTCCATACTTTTGGGACACGCTGTATATTGTACAACATAGTAATATATGCAAAAATAAGTTTTACCTAAATAAATAGATTTGATTTGATAACAAAAAGTTAAAAATAAATATAACTCTTAGATAATTAATTTTTAATTAAATAATAATTTAAAATAATTATTATTAATCAAAAGAATGAATATTTACGTTTTAATATATTATACTTTTAAATATGAAATTCTACCCTTAATTTAGCTAACGTGAACGTTTTTTTTAAATAAATGTCTTATTAAAATAGTTTTAAAAATTGTTTGACAAAAATGAAATAAAAGTAAGATTAAAATAGTTTCTTTTTAATCAGATCAATATTCTCATTATTTTATTTTATAAATGTATGACGTACATATTGTTTGATGGAAATCGTAAGAAGATGATAGGTAGATGATGATGTAGTAGATGATGGTAGGTTTTATATTTCCCTCTTCCATCAAGATGGAAATATAAAAAATTGTTATTAATTCAATATTATTACTTTATATACATATATGTATGTACATATTATATGTATATATATGTATAAAATCATATAGATAATCATTTTACACGCTTATATTTTTTATAAGCGTGTTTTTGATGTCTTTTATAGGCATGGTGTTCTTTACAAATAGAATTACTTTTTAAGAGAAGGAACCTGTACGTGTGTGTGTGCTATAGCAATAACATTTGCAACAATTTACAATGTAGTCTTAAAATATTTTATCTTTTTTTAAGCAGCAGTAACATATAATTTGCCCGCCGATAAGAAATAAATGCTTTTCATTAATTTTCATGTTTATAGTTATTTCGCCTCTCATTTTCAACGCTGATTTTATTGAATTAAGAAGTGGCATTAACATATGTTAAAGAGAGTTTATTGCAATTTTTTTCAGATTTTAAGTCAGTTAAAATCCAAACTGTCTTCTTTGGA